GAGGTGCTACTAAAACTGGTATTTATTGCATGTACAGTATCTTGGTCAAATTCATATTAATCTTTTCTGTGATCTGGTGGTTCTGGGGCTGAAAGATCTTGGGAACCACTGTACCAGTTAAATACTTGCTCTGGTGCCCACGTTTCACCCTGACCTCTTCTTTTTTTTCCTCTTAGTTTTATTGTTTGTGGTTTAATTCTAATAAATGACTAAGTGGAAGATGCATTCCTGGAACAGAAAGAGATTGAGGGCAGCGATTGTTTGTTAGTTCGGTAAATGGGGTCTACAGAACTGACCCCGGCATCGACGATGTCCGAGCCCTCTTCATGTCCTGGATTTCACATTCTAATAATGACTAATGTGTTTGCCGATGTCAGCCTGCTCTCATTAGAGTGATTTATAGCCCTGGCAGTTTTCAGTAAACCAGAGGAGCCGTATTCCAATTTATTCAGGTCAAATTAACCATTCATAATTAGACACCATAACCTTTCCCGCTTTCCTTTCCTAGTCTGAATGCGCTTTACATGAAATGCAAATGTTCATTGTTTAATCTCCCTGCTTGTCATTAGGGAGGCTATGTAAGAATCACCCCATGCAGGGCAAAAGTTTAGCCTGAATCAATCTCCTAATGCTTAATAGCTAATGGGCTGATTTATTGCCATGTAATGAAGGTGAAGGCCTTCTTTTCTCTAATGGTGGCATTGACCCTATGGAGCCCCTCAGCCATTATTCCAATGTCAAAACTGTGCAGCTTATATTATTGCTGCAATGACTCATTTTAATATAAAGTATATCACCTATAAACTTACTAATCTCCAATTATTCTACTTGGCTGTAGGAATTATTTGAAAGATTTTACAAGTACAGAATTGGCAAGTATTCTGAAATCTGTTACATTATATTGATTTATTTTTTATTATATAATGAGACCTGAAACACACACACAGAAACATTTTGTATCAAGGTTGGGTGATTTTTTTTTTTCTTCTTTTTTTTTTCCCCTCAAAAAAATTTCCAACCAGCCATAATCCGTCCAACCACCAGTAACTGGTGATACATTCATGGAGATGTATGTATCTCTGTGTCACAAGATTATGTTAAAGGCACATAAGTCATCAGGAGGGAGAACAACAGTGCTTATATTTTATCTCACTACATACATATTTGTCAGCCACAACATTAAAGCCTCTGACAGGTGAAGTGAATAACATTGATCATGCAATAGCCTCCTGTGAGTCTTTGGGCTGTGATATGTCATGCATTTTGAGGTTACCTAGGCATGTACAACCTAGCTAAAGGCTATTGTACACTCGTCAGTGTCATTGGCTTCCCCCAGCAGGACATTATGTTCTGCCACAAAACAAACTGCCCGGGAACAGCTGAAGAAACATGACAATGAGCCCAAGGCACTGACCCAACCTCCAGCCTCCCGCCTCCCCAGATCCCAATCCAATCTAGAATTGGCAGCATTCAGTGGACCTAGCCTCCTCCATAGAGGCTGCAGCCCACAGCCCACATGTCCCACAGGAGCTACTGCCAGCATTTTGGTTACAAACACCACAGGATATCCCCAAAGGTCCTGTTGTAATGCCCCAGACAGGTCAGAGGCATTTTGGTGGCGTATAAGGAAACAACCCAATGTTAGGCAAGTGCTTTCAGAACTTTTCCAACTATCAGAACTTATGCCAGTTTTAATTGGATTGAGAAGTGGGGCACGTCGGGTTGTCGGTCTATCACAGGACCAACAGGGAGAGACAGAAAGACCAAAGTTGGATTTCATTATCACTTTGCTAAATAAATTTTTTTTCTGGCTTTAAAGTATTTTTTTAATATTTCAAATTGGATAGGGCTAATTAGAGCCAGACCACTTGAGGCGGGCTGCATCTCAATTGAGGCCTTCAGGATTACGTAGCGGAGACCTCTGTGACAGTTTGATAGACAGCACCTCTCACTCTGGTCTTGATTACTGCTGTTGACTAATTCGCTTTGCTTTGCTTTAATAATGTCTGATTGGGGAGTGTTTGGACCAGATCCGGTCTTTTTGGACTAGCTGGGAAATGATGGTGAATTTTGGTGTTAGGCTTCAAGTGATGAGCTGTCATCTTCTTAGCCTCAGTTTCATTAAAAAGTTAATGAAAGTTAAAAAAAAAAAAAGGCTGAAGGGAAAGTGTGAGGATGGAGACAAATCGGAGGACCAGCTGGCGTCTGGTTTGTTGGTTTTGGCCAGTTCTCACATTTTCAGTGCCTCTGATGTCTGTTGGGATTAGGAGTACCTCTCCAAGAGGCAATGGCTGCCAAGCAGCATCAGAACAGAGACGAGCGGGATGAGGGATGAACTGGAGCAACAAAGGTAGAACAAAAAGTGAAAGAATTACAGCTGGAAAGAAACAACTGAGTGCAGAGATAAAGACACTGTCAGTCATTTGAGCAGCTGCAGATTACAGTTTGAAGGTGTGAAAGGACTGCCGCCTTTCCTCCTTCTACCCTTCTGATATTCAAAATCCAATTAGCGGACATGTTAGAGGGAGCTCCTTTGTGACAGTGGGCCATTTGTAAGGAGGAACACTGACAGAGGTAATATTTTAATGTAAAGCGTATCTTCCTTTATTATGTATATAATGTTCTCTTTTTGTAGTCCTGAGAAATGTTCTTGTTCACATTTTTGATGTTGATGCAGAGAAGATGTGCAAAAAAGAAAAAATGGTACAATGAGGCACATTTATTTGTCTGAGTCACACTGGACCTCATTCGTGTATTACTATGAATGATTTAGACTTCTTTAAATAGAGGCGATATAGTGATGGGCTTGTGATGTGCCTGCAGAAATTTTGCTTGAAGCCTCAATGGTGTCCCTTCTATGTTAGTTAGTTCTGTGTTAGCTTTTTGGGGAGCTGGAAGCTACCATGTTTGGACAAGAGGGTGAAGTACCAAAATGATGAGCTTGGATAGGTATTTGCACATGAAACTTGTATGAACAATTCACAGAAACATTTGTTTTACTCTGTTAATTGGTGTTGAGAAACTATTAGTGCTAATAAAATGGTAGACTCTAACTTAACAGAATGGAAACACAACCCATCTTTGCTGTGTTTGATACTTCTGTGCAGGCTTCTTTTTTTAGCCCCAGAGATTGCAGCATGGATATTGTTCAATGAAAGCAGAGTTTGTTGGGTTTGCAAGGTCTTAACTTTATAATGTAATGTGTCCTAATATATTGTGAGTTAGCACTAAATAAATACATTTTTAATTGAGTTGGTCAGTACCTTAGAATGGTGAAGGCACACTTTGATCATGACGTCTTTCTTCTTTTACAAAAAACCCAAGCCTCTGCAAATGATTTTTGACCTCAAACCATGTGCTCAAAGAGACTTGATGTGACATTTGTTGCGTTTTTGTTTTCTGGCGCTGTAGTTTGACTGTTTGCTGAGCTGGAACATGATCCTCTGCAGAGTCACTGTAGACGTCAGATTTGGAGGCAATTAAATCATTTGTCTAACAGTAGACAGATGGATTAAAAGACACTGCTGAGTCATGTCTGTCTGTTGAAGACTATTTAGGAAGCACAATTTGAGTGGTTTGCTTTTCCAGTGCATCTGTTTTGTCTTTGCTCACAGTGGATAACATTATACCTGCGACCATTCACGTCCAGTTGGTTTGTAACATATAGCATCTTATCAAGATGTTCCCCTTTTGAGGTGGTGTTAGGTGCAAATGATTTTTTTGGTGGTTACTGAATATTTAAACAGAAAGTGAAAAGCACTGGATGGATGGATGGATTGAGGTGGAGGACATTCAGTTTTCTACTACAGCACTGGACTTTCTGGGTTTTTCTCTGCAATGGTTGACAGCTTTAGAAACATTAACACTAGACAGATGGCCATTGAAACATGGCTTTAAGTGTGACTTATTTTTATATTTATTGACCTGTCACAGCTGACTGGGCGTTTGAGCAGAAAGACTTAAAGGCTCCATTTAGAGCAGGATTGATTTCTGTCAAAGACGAGCTGTGATGAAAGATTGGAGAAAATGTGCATGTATAAGCCCCGTCTCTGATTGATTGACGCTTTCAAGTTGCCCTGTCTTTATATATATATGTCGCTATATATATAGATCCCCCCCGACACACACACACACACACACACACACACACACACACACACACACACACACACACACACACACACACACACACAATCCACCCTGTTCCAGTGTATTTGCCATTTTAGGCGATGGAACTGACCATTTGACTGACACCTCACTCTGAGTTGAGATTTACTGTCACTGCTGCTAGAGAAACACGGGAAAATGGCACAGCTGCCATGCATAGGACCAGTGGCTCAGACATGAACTTTAATAAAACTCTTTGATCGTGTAATTTACTCAGTGAAAGGATTGTTGTTGGGAAAAAGAGTCCATAATGGGACATTATGAGTTTTGGTTAGAATGAACATCATCACAATTTTGGCAGCAGCACTGTTTTTTTTCTTGTTTTGTTTTTTGTTTTTTTTATTTCTTGCCAAAAGCCTTTATGACCGCACATTAGAGGGGCTGATTTAATTCCTTTTTCATTCCTCGCAGTTGGTTTCTTCCTCTTGAGGGTAACATTCTGTCTAATGACTGCAGATATAAAAAAAAAAAAGGAGGAAAAAAAAGTCAGTGAGTGTAGAAAAGTAAGTAATATAAAGTTTTTCTCTGTATGGGTGAAAGTACGTTATGATGTAGAGGCCTTAAGGGGGACATTTCAGTGTGGAGCATGTGGCAGCAGCAGATGTCGTGTTTGATGGTGACAGCTAATGGGTTAGTTTTCTTTTCATGTTTTTTGAAGAGCATTTTTGTTGTGAGGGTTTCCTATTTGTGGACAGTTTTCTGAAGCAGTTCATGCCAGTAGATCCGTATTTACCTGCACGCATTAACAAGGTATGATATTGATCCTCTCTATACCATTATGGCATTTTTTTTCCACTCTTTAAATTATGCTCTCTCTCATGTTGTCTCTTCAGAACACCTTAAGGTGGCACTAGAGGAGTACATGGTACGGCTGCCAAAGGTTCGCATCCTGAGGACCAAGAAGAGGGAGGGTCTGATCCGGACTCGCCTGCTTGGAGCAGCTGCTGCTAAAGGAGAAGTCCTCACCTTCCTAGACTCGCACTGTGAAGCCAATGTGAACTGGCTGCCTCCACTGCTGGGTGAGGACTTCATTATTGAGCCATGACCCTTAACATGAGCCCGATCCTCAACCGGCCTGCACTGTGTGCCTAGGTCATAACCTTAGTGATGGCTGCTCTTTACGTGTGACGTTAAACTCATTTTGGGGAAAAATAAAAATTCAAATTCAAATTTTATTTGTCACGTACACAGTCATACATAGTACGATATGCAGTGAAATGCTTAGACAACTGCCCGTGACCTAAAAAAAAA